AAAAGCAAAACTGAATCCGCCAGCGGTTGGCCAAGTATTGCTGCCCCCGTTACAGATCGAGGTAGAGCCACACCTGCAATCCTGCCCCGCAGACATCTTCTCATCCACTCCAAAGATACGGCGGGACTATAGGGAGGTCCTGGTGAGGGCGAGACATGAGTGGGGGCGCATGGGGTGCGGTTTCCCATAGGAGAGAGATGATGCAAGGGAGACTCGTTTGTAGAGGGGGATCAGAAGGCGGCGGGCAGTAGAGAGGCCCAGTCAGTGTCCTGTGGTCGTTGCCAGCACCAAGGGGGCAAGGACATAAGCAACAAACTTAAAATTGCCATAAGGAAATCTTTCCTACTTAGAGTGTGTCACCAGCCTGCAGACGCTGTGCCCACAGGGGAGGATCGAGGGTACGAGCCATCAAAAGCAGATGCAAAATGTAGCTCTTGAGCTCTACCGGAAAGGCAGTGATGGTGTCTGCAGCCATGGACAGCAAGGGTAGCATGCCCTGATAGGTTATAACCTGGCAGCTGGATTCGAGGGGGAATTGCACAGGTGATGGTCCTGTGCCTTCCTTGGAGGCCTCCAGCTTTGCCCAACCCCAAGGATGAGATCTTTTAGTCTCTTCTATTTTGGCAGGTCCTGAGTTTCTAGGATCTAGAGACATTTTCTAGATGCCCCGGATCAACATGATGCCCCAGATCAGCGTGATGAGGGTGTTGCAGAAGCATCTAGGCAAGAGCTCCGTCTCCGGCATGGAGACTTTGAACTTCTCAGAGGCTGGAAAACCGGCTGGTGTTTGAAATCTCTCTGATCTCCCTGGCAACTCTCAAGGAGCAGGAGAGAGCCAGGAGCTGCCGGCTGGCAGTGGCTGCGTGGCTCCGTGCCGAGGCAGCGTACGCTATCAGGGAGTGACAGTGGGATGGAGAGTCCAGGTGCCCAAACCCCCTCTGCTTTCCTGCAGCTTTTTGACTAAGCTGTGCCACCCCAAAGGCGTGCATGTTCAAACCGGAGCATCTCTGGAGTGGCATGTGTCATCCGTGTGCAGGAATGAGAGGGCGTGTGTTGTGTGCCCAGCTGGGCCCAAAACTGGACACAGGACTCCAGATGTGGCCTCCGCAGTGCAGAATAGAGGGGAAGAATCACTGCCCTGGACCTGCTGGCAACACTTCTACCAATGCAGCCCGGGCTGCTGGTAGCCTTCCTTCTACTCTAGTTTGGTATATCGGTTTCTCTGTTCCCGTTGCACTGGGAGCTGCAGTCCAGCAAGACTGGGCATGATGTGTGTTGGTTTGTCACTGCCAGCGGTTTGCAGGGCGGGGTGAAATTCCAGAGCTGCCATTTCTTAGTGGCTGTTTGCATCTTCATTTGAACTGTAGCAGTTTCCAGTGCATCCCTGGCACCTTGTACATGCAGTGCCAAAAGCACCCCCCGAAGGCATTATAGGCATCATTTATCATCTAAAAACCGCTCAGGCCTTGAGCTGCTCTCCAGTTCCCGAATCCCTTCCCGCCTCCCATTCAACAGTCGGCTTTATCCTGGGGAGAGAAGGGGGATCCTGTTATGTAACGTGGGTTACTCTTAGATCTCCAGCCCCACAAAAAGTGCAAGGCCCTATGTTGCATCTGTGGGGCGGCTGTCTTCTCTGCACACGAGTGGAATGAACCACGCAGAGAAATCTGTAGTTAGCAAATACCTGAGCGGAGGCCGGTAAGGAAGTGGGCCATTTGTGCTCAAGCCTGGTCTTGTAAATGCGGGTGGGCCACGCTGACTGCGATCCCTTCACCCATTTCATACTGGTGTGCTGGGAATCCCAGTTTGTTCTTGACTGGGGGCGGTTGACACTGAGATGATGGATGAGTGCTACAGTGGTAGGATAGCCGCGATTCCCACGGCTGCTAGTGAAAGGGGCATATGTTTCTCTCAAAGATAGGCAGGCATGGCTCAGTTATGGGGAGGGAACTTTTTAATTGAAAGGACTAACAACATTCAGCCTTCTTCGCCTTGTTCTCTTTGCACGTAACCCCCATCCCGGCTGCGTTCCCGAGTCACTTTGGCACTTTCTCCTGGCTTTGCGTAGTTGGCCCGGCAGTTCCCCCGGTTGCTCGGGTGGTGGTTTCACACAGCAAGAGAGAGGAGGGTGCGACTGCCGATGGAAGAGTGAGATTGCAAAGCCACAGAAGTCAGCCGAAGGGCCCAGGCAGAAGGAAACCACCTCTTGCCTTTGACGGGGGTGAGATAACACTGGCATGGTCTTGCCTTAAAAGCGACTGTAGCTGGCAAAGCCTCACATGCAGCAGTGCAGAGGCAGCCTGGTCAAGGCGGGCGGGTTCGAATTCGCCTTTCCCCAGCGCTGCAAGCCTGAGTTCACACCCAGTGATAGCTGTGGCTGCGTCCGTCTGGCCTGGCACTGTTGGTACCACGAAGACTACAGGGCAGTTTGGAGCAGGACAGGAGAGCCCCCGGGGTCGTCGGGGAGCAGGGGAAGGGTGCACGCCTGGCGTCTCGCACCTTTTGCGGAAGCTGTAACACCACAGCGTGCGTGCACTGGGCAGGTCGGGGCAGGAAAGTTGCCTGAGCAAATGCTGGCTGCTTGATAATGCATTCAGGTGACATGCGCTTAGTGCCGTGGAAAATATTGGATGGAGAGATGTTAGCACCACGTGTGTGTCCGTCAGCAGCTCCGCTGCAAACTCTGTCCTACCATGAAGCACCGGGCGCAATGCTGTGATATCCCAGCCTTCCCGGCCCGTGGGTTTGAGCACAGGTTTCCTGCATGGCTGGGCTGAGCACTGACTGGCTTGAGGGTCCTTCCTTCCCAGGGGCACTCCGGTGCCTCCCGTGCCTCCTCTTCATGCATATCGTGTGGCTTCCCCGATCCACTTGTATTTAATGCACACTGTGGGGCGGTGGGCGTTGAAGCTTTTGGACGCTGAGCAGGAGAGAGATCTCCCACTGCCTGATCCTGAGATGCTTGCCGTGTTGGCTGGTGGAAGTCAGCAGTGTAAAGCTCAAATTAATTTCTGAGAGTTCAATTTGGATCCAAGTGCTGAGGGAGAGATGCCAGGGCTTTGCTGTCCTGGGGGAACAGGGCGCTGCCAGCCTTGCCACACTAGGAGACCCCTAGGAGCCCAGCGCAGCTGGTGCAGGTATCCCTAGGCATGCCGACCCCTCGCTGCCTGCAAGAGTGAAGACAGACATTTCCGCAGCTGGAACTATGTTCTCCCCTCGCTTTCTCTTGTGCATCAAAGTAGAAGGCAAAAAATCTGCCCCTTTGAGAAGCAAGTGGGATCGGTTAAATAACGAAGCTTCTATTTACCCGGCAAAGCTGTGGGCCATTCATCAGGGGCTTTACATTTTTATTCCAAGGCCGTGATGCAGCTAAGCATTTTTTTCCCCGATGCCCAGATTTCTGAGGCAGCATCTCCCCAGCTGAATTCAAAGTGGAATTTGTGGGCAGATGATGTGAGGATACAGCTGTGGGAACCAGTCACCTGCATCTGCCTTCGAGCTGAGAGGGTCTCATCTGCGCTTCCCACAAACAGCCCTTTATATAGGTCTTGAACGTTTCTGCAGAACCCGTCCGTGCCACAGGCCGCGCAGCCTTAGCTCGTCTCTAGTTATTATTCCCCCTCCAATGCTTTGTTCTTTGCTCTTCCTTTGCGGAGCCGGCGTATTTGAATCGCCCGCAGGTTGTCTCTGTGGGAGCTGATTGCTGATGCTGGTCTGTGCAGCGCCCCGCTCTGGGTCTCCGGTGCTGGGAACGCCGCTCTGCCAAGTCGGTGGAGGGGACAGCGAGCATGGCGGAGCACAAGCAGGGAGGTCACTAGATGCGCCTGCAGTTTCCAGGGTTCAGGAAAGATCCATGCTTGCTCAGAGGGAACTGGAAAGCTGCTTACAGAGAGCTGCCTCTTTGCAGGGGCAGAACGGAAATAGCTCATCGTGGAGTTTGTGGCAGGGTCTAGTTCTCACTGGTGCTGCCAGGAAACCCTGCTCCTCGATGAGAGCAGTGCCAGGACGTGCGGGGAGGAGCCGGAGCCTGGTGCTGGCCGGGCACCTCGGACCCGTAGGTTAGGATCAAGCACTGGCTACAGACCACGGTTGCATCCTTGTGCCTCCCAGCCGGGGGGTTGTCTTCTGCAGGCGGACGCTTTGGAAGACCAAGGCTGGGGTGGGAGTGACAAGGAGCAACCCCACAAGGTCCCTCCCCATGTTCCCGTGGGGTCGATGCAAGCTGATCGGTGCCGGAAGTTTAGGCAGGGCGTCTCAGAGAGAGAGATTAGCAGTCCACTGTTACCTGGAGGAAAGGACCGCAGGTGACGCAGGACCCCGTCACACGAGAGCGCCATGTCCTGCGGCAGCTCCAGCCTGTGTCTCCGCAGGGATGAGGTGGCGGCGTTGCAGAGCTGTTACGCGGTCTCTTGCTGGCACTCTCTGTTGATGCTTTTAGATGCCTCCAGTTCAGTCCATGCTGTGGTGATATAAGGCGGGTGTGCTCCTCGACGCACCATGGCATGAAATGGAGGTTCCTAGAAGCAAGATGGCAGGTACGGTACTGAGAGTCGGCTGCTGCGTGGGTTTGCTCTGTCTCCCTCTTGCGCTGCTGGTCGGGGTGGGGGGCAGAGCGGAGGGGAGAGGTTCAAATCCAAAAAACCAGCCAGGCTGTGAACAAACTGGCCAGGCCAGGAAGCTCTGAGGGACAGTGCTCCTCCCATGCCCAGGCCATGCCCGTAGCTGATGTTTCTCTGTGCCAAGGCTTTTCATGGCTCTGAAGGAGGGCATCTCTCCCAAGAACATCAGAGCTGGGAAATGCCAGTCCTGCTCGTATCTTTTGGCTTTCGTTGTCTTTTTTTTCCACCCTCCCCCCCCCACTCACCAGCGGTTTTTCTGTCAGGTGCTGACAGGGGAGGCTACTCTTAGCCCCTCACTTAGGAATGAATTTGGTTTTTGGTTGCGGAGTGTCCATGGTATGAAACCATCCCCTTCCCTTTCTGTCTCCTATCGCTTTGCAGAAAAGCAGGGTCCGGAGCGGAAGAGGATTAAAAAGGAGCCTGCCACGAGGAAGCCCGGCTTGCTGTTCGGCATGGGCCTTTCAGGGATCCGGGCCGGGTACCCGCTCTCCGAGCGCCAGCAAGTCGCTCTTCTCATGCAGATGACAGCGGAGGAATCTGCAAACAGCCCAGGTGAGAGCCGCGAGCATGTTCCCGCTCGGGCAGACATGTGAGAGCTTGTAGGTCAAGGGGCCTGTGCACGCTGACGCTTTTCAACACGCATCTCGGTTACCAAACAACTGGGGTGGAAACGTGCCTCAGCGGCTCACCCCGACACCCAGGGAGAGCTGTTCAGTGGTTTTGGTGCCCCAGAAAGCTCTCTGGAGTATGAACGCTTGGAAGTGAATTGAAGCAAAAGGGTTCAGGTGCTTCCCTCCTGCCCCGGACCCCAGCTTCCCTTGCCTTCTGGCTTTGTGCAGGCTACATCTCCCCCAGCTTCCACAAAGGGCCCTCTGTTGTGTCCCCTCGGAGAGATAGGGGTAGGGTGGAGCATATTTCATTGAAACTAGGGAGTCCCCAACCAATCTAACCCTTGGGAGCCTTGGCTTCAAAATCAGCCTTGGGGTCAGCTGCTTTGCAGCCAGAGCTTCAACCTGCCTAGCAGTGTGATATGTCAATCGGGTAGGTCGATGGTTTTCTTGGTTGCTCTCAAGTGTCCCTTCTTATGTGAAGGACCAAGGCAGCGCCAGCAGTTTGCAGCTTAATGAGCCTGGGGTGTTTCTAACATGGGGCTTACATTCAGTGCTTTGAAGAATCCCTTGCAAACGTGGTCCCCGGGAGGCTGCAGATGCTGTATGCGCTCCAGAGGGGTCTGCATCTTTTTGGCCTTCTTTTTGTGTTTTGGCAATGGACGTTTCAGGTTCTAGGCCCCTCCTCTCGTCATGAACCTGAGTCTCGTTTCTGGTCGTCTCACTTTTGGTGGGAAACACTGGGGGTCTTCAGAGCTTCTCCTAGGCACGTGTGCACTCTGCTCCCTGGGAGCCTGGCCCATACGCTCTGCCCCTTCCCTTAGGGCACATGGGTCTAGGATAAGGGGCGATGCACTGCTGTCTCCTAAGCCATGGGGTTGCCGAGGGTAGGAGGGATGCTTAGGCCCCTTCAGGCTGTGCTCTGAGCCTGCAGCTCCTGTCTGCTGCAAGTACACAGCCTTTCCTCTGCCTCTACATCTGCTTTGGAGGCTCCCAGTGCTGCCGCTTGACATTGAAATTCAAAGTATTACAACAGCCCCCTCTACGGGCTGCGGGGCGACTTGTTCTCACCGTGCCTTTCTCTCCTTCCTGCAGTTGACACGACACCAAAGCACCCCTCTCAGTCTGCCGTGTGTCAGAAGGGAACGCCCAACTCTGCCTCCAAAACCAAAGATAAAGTCAACAAGAGGAACGAGCGTGGAGAGACGCGGCTGCACAGAGCCGCCATCCGTGGGGATGCCCGGCGCATCAAGGAGCTCATCATCGAGGGCGCAGATGTCAACGTGAAAGACTTTGCAGGTAGCCACCTCGGCTGCAGCTCAGCTGCCCATGCAGCCGTGCCGGCAGCCCTGAGCCCGGCGTGTGGACCTGCACTTTGTGCCAGCTAGGCCAGTATCCCATCCCTGACAGGATGGGCCAAGACCAGATGCTTCAAAGGAAGGTGCAGGGGACGCTGTGATGGATCATTAGAGAATGCCTCATCTGTGTGGGAATTTCAGTTATGCCCGAGAGCCTACACCATGGGCACGGGCAGCGTGGCATGTTGGAGAGTCCATGACACCAACATGCCGTGCTGGACCGTGATCTCAGCAGCCTCCTTCCTGATGACAGAGGAGCGCTGGGGACAGAGAGCTGCTGTCCCTGCAGGCCTTAGGGTGTCCGGAGGGAGGCACAGCAGTCATCTTCATCTTAACAATCACACCGCATGGACCGGTGCTGCCCTCAGCTCTGTGGCATTTTGCCATCTGTGTGTTTCTGGCAGAGCTGATGGGCACCTGTAGCCAATCCCCCAGCATTTCCCTGGATAAACCCACATTACAGCCGCTTTTTCCTTTCGCCACAACTTAACATTTGAGCTGAAATTTTTCCACGTTAGGCATTTGCCTCTGTCTGATATTTTTCAGCTAAAAGAGTTTGGCTGCTTCCAAAATGGAAGTGAGGGGAAAATTCATTATTTAGCCCAAATCTGGGGGCGGGGAACGACGGGACTTGCTATCCCTGCGAAAAGCTGCCAGAACCTTGCCACATATTACAGCGAAAAAATAAAAGCCCTTAGGTCCTGCACAAAGCCTGAGTAGACTTTGACGAACAAGATGCTGCCGCGATTCCATCTGACCTGACTGTGCCCTGGTCCAGCCACGCAGGGGCTGAGAAACACGGTCCTTGTAACTCCTCTTTCTGGCTTTGCTGGAGGGCCAGGCGCTGGGGCTGTGAATAGGGAGCCCTTTCCCCGCAGTCTCTTTTCCCATCTGCAAGCATCCAGGCAGCTGTGTGATCCAAATGTAGAAAGGACAGGAGCTGAAAAGGAGCCCAGGACTGTTTGGGCAAGAGGCCAGGGAGCCAGTTGAGTGGGGAGCAGGCGAATGGGAGGAAGGGCGGCAAGTGCAGGAGACCAGGTCAGGGATCCCTGAGACCGGGATGGGAAGTGAAGAGGGTGGAAGCTGGGGGTGGGCAGCTGGGGGTACCCAGGCCAGGAGACCGGCCCAGAGGAAGAGTAGGGGAAGGTGCAGCAGGACAGGAGAGACTGGGATGGGAATGGGGTTGGCGTCAGGCTGGAGGGACGGGGCTACGGTGCAGAAGGGGCTGTGGTCACTAGAGTCCACTCCTCCGCTGTCAGCAGCCACGTGGGAAGGCATGGGTCTTGCCCTCTGGGGACTGGTCCACCCAGAGGATGACAGCCTACTACTGCTATCCAGTTCTTCGCTAAATCAAGCAGGAGAGGTTCAGGCTGCAGATCCAAGAGCTCCCCCCTGCTCACAAAACACATGGGTATCACGAGGAGGCCATGTGAAGGAATTCGGGGAGGGGGGTGTGGACTGCAGAGACCTTGTGTGCAAGAGGTCGAAAGTGCCTGGACAAAGCCCTTTTAAAGGGGCCCCTTGGGCAGAGGCCCTGAGACTGCTCAGCCACCACAGGCTTTCTTTCTTCACTGCCTCACCCCTGCCTGCTGGAAGGGGCCGTCCTGTGGGAATCGGTCAAGGCTGAGTGATCCGGGGACTCTTGTCTGCTGGACCGTGCTTCCCCTTGGGGATGCAGAGGGTCTGGGGTGAATGAGGCAGGGGACTGCAAGAAAAGAAGGGGCAGTCTCCTAGCAAAGGCTTCCCTGGGCAAGAGGATTTTGTCCCAGCCTCTGCCATAGATCTCCTCCATAACGGGGCAGCTGCTTCAACCAGACTTCAGAGGTGCCTGTGGTGTTCACCTTGGTTTCTGGCTTCCCTGTAGCTCTGAGTCCTCGCAGTGACAGCAAACATATATATATATATATATATATATATATATATAGATGGCTGAGAACCCAAAAAACTTAGGGCCTGGGTATCTTGGGGCAGGCGGCCCCCGCAGTGAGAGGCCACGTTTGACCTTGAATCTCTGCCTGCCCCAAACTCCTGCCTGTACGATTGGGATGAAACCGCCGTCTCTTTCCCGGCGGTTATGGAAATGTACTCGTCAGTGCCAGGCAGACACTGGAGAGACGAGCACTGCAGAGGAAGCACATGAGGGAACTAATAATTTTGTCATCAGAGCAGGGCTTGAATACGGCGCAGTAAACAGTCTGGGGCCGCGCACTGAACAATGAGGGGGAACAAAGCACCCAGCAGCTGCCGGTTAATTGTGCGCTGCCCGTCTCCGGCGCCAAAGCGGACAGGGGACCCGTGGGCAAAGCGCATCTGCATCACGCGGCCTGTATCCTCCCGCCCAGGCGCCGAGAGCTGAGCCGAGGCTGGCACGCAGCTTCCTCCTGGCACTTCCCAACTTTTGCGTGCTCAGCTTCCCCCGTTAACGTTCGGCGCGTGGGCGTTGGCTGTGATGAGTCGATTTGGAGCATGGTGTGATTACCATCAGCGCTTGATTGAAGCCTGTCGCCATCGCCAGTTGTTTTGGGCACAGATGCCTCTTCTTAATAGCCCAAATGGAGGTTTCTGAAAGTCTGTGTGTCAGCAGAACACCTCCAGAGCAGCGCACAGCTGCTGGGAAACTTCAAAGCAGGATCTGCTTAGCAATCAGCTTGCCCCTCTTGGCGAGGAAGGCTTCAGCAGTTCTTTCCCTCCTCGCTTAGAGCTGCTGTTTCTGCCGAGTTTGTCCCCTCCCCGTGCTCCTTTCCAGCCAGAGCTCACGGTCCTGCTTGTGATGCCGTGACTGCTTGCTCTGGAAACGCTGCATTCACACCCCTGTGCTCTGAATTTGGGTGAGTGGGGGGAGTACACTGGATGTAGGGATGAATTCAAAACCCCAGGCTGAGCTGAGTTAAAATCCTTCTTAGCAAAGAGTTAGAAGCAATCTGACCTACCGAGACCAGAGCTCCAGGAGGGGGTCAAGTCAGCAGCCCTTTCATTTCATTGGAGTTCACTGAGCTGTGCAAGCTCCAGTGGACAATTGGCTGTAGCCTGGAATGGAAGTTAGGCCCAAGCACAATGAATTTCCAAGGCAAAGTGGCTGGTGTCTGGGCAATGCACCCCTTCTGTGTCATCTGCCAGCTGACCAGAAGAGCTCTGTGCCCATAGCCGGAGGCAAGCTGTTGCAAAGCAGGCAGCGGCCCCTTGGTAGGCAGGTTACCTTGTGCCGCTGCCTTCCTTCCCTTCAGCAAAAGGGGTTGCCCGCGTCACGGGTGTTTGTGTGCCTTGCAGGCTGGACGGCATTGCACGAGGCATGTAACCGGGGTTACTACGACGTTGCAAAGCAGTTGCTTGCTGCCGGCGCCGAAGTCAACACCAAGGGGTTGGATGACGACACGCCGCTGCACGACGCGGCTAATAACGGGCACTTCAAGGTGGGTTCTGGCTGGATCTCGCAGCCTGGTTTTAGTGATTCCCGAGGGGGGTGAGTTTGGGCTTCTAGTACAGCACGGCCGATTCTCTCCTGTCGAGAGTTCCCGATAGCCACGTTGCATCTTTGCAAGGCAGCATCTTCTCCTGCCCCTGTGCTGTGAAACATTTGGCGTGGTGTTCCCCTTCATGTCAGAGGTCTACGGTAAGGCTTGCCTTTCTTCCCACTTTGGAGAGAAAGCTGGCCGTCGGGAGAGCCCCAGGTTTGCGCCTTCTTCCCCAGTCCAGGAAATCAGTGCTGCCAGTTTCTATCTCCCTCCTGATCAGACCCTGTGCTCATATCCCTTGGGGACAGAGCAGGCCACAAGCTGATCTTCTTCCTTCTCGTCTGTCTGAATGGTGCACAAATGTGACCGGAGCTGAAACATCTTCCTGATACCCTGAGGCACTGACAGTCTCTCTCTCTCTCTCTCTCCCTCTCTCTCTCTCTCTCTCTCTCTCTCTCTCACCTTCAGGTGGTGAAATTGTTGTTGCATTATGGAGGGAACCCTCATCAGAGCAACCGCAAAGGAGAGACGCCTCTAAAAGTCGCCAACTCCCCCTCCATGGTGAATCTGCTGCTTGGAAAGACCACCTACGCCTCCAGCGAAGAGAGCTCCACAGGTGAGGCCCCACCATCACGCGTGGGCATTGAGATCCCCACCTGCAGCCATGTGCTGATAGAGAAATGCTAAAAGCACATGAAGTTACAGCATGGGTGAGGTTGGTTTGCTACAGTCCAGAACCTGTCTGCAGCCTGGCTGCTCGCATGCTGGAAAAACCCACCCTTCTCTCAAGGGAAAGCTGTTGCTCACTTGGAAATTTCAGCCCCGAGAACCTTTGGGGAAAGAGTCCCATACATCCACCAAACCTAGCTGCAGTCACAAGTAGATGCTGCTGCAGCCATGACCTGGCCACTAATCCACAGTCACCACCCATGTACATGCTCCTACTCCACGGGCATGGACCCAGTTGCTTACCCGTCTCACTGAAGGGGCAGTTGCCGTGGCTCCATTTCCATTTATTGCGGGGTAAGAGCATGCACTTGAGGGAAGGAACTGCGGAGCGGTCGATGGGCTGCCAGTCCCTGCTCTCTCTTACCTTGTGTTCCCAGGCCGTGGGCACGTGAACAAGGTATTGCAGGCTGAGCAGCTGCCCCTCAGAGAGCTGGCTCCTGCATCATCAGAGGTTTAAACGAATGTCACCAGCACTTCAACTTGCCCTTGGGAACAAGTATAGAAATGGTGGTGAGCATTCAGAAAAACCCATCCCCTCAGAAAGCCAGGGGCTGGACTCAGTCCTTGCTGAAGTATCTTTCCTGGCCCGCAGCCTGCTCGTACACTGATGCTACAACACTCCACTTCCAGAGTGCCATTGTCAGGGACGTCCGCATGGCCTTGAAGTGGCTCAGTGTTCCTCTTCAAAGGGACTTTGAGCTCCCTCCTACTCGTCCAGCCACAGGCTTAGTAGAGACGGCCACTTGGTGCCTGGGGTGAGCAGGGCTGGGGGTTCAGAGAAGCTTGCTGGACAATGCTGACTTAGTGGTGCTTCCTGCTGGGCCTAATGCTATTCTGGTCCCCACAGAGAGCTCCGAGGAGGAGGATGCCCCTTCCTTTGCACCATCCAGCTCCGTAGACGGCAATAACACAGACTCCGAATTTGAAAAAGGCTTGAAGCACAAGACCAAGAGCCAAGAGCCCCCCAAAACCATCACGCCGGTCAAGGACGAGTATGAGTTTGACGAGGATGACGAGCAGGACCGAGTCCCGCCTGTGGACGACAAGCATTTGCTGAAAAAGGATTACAGGAAAGAGACTAAAACCAACAGTTTTATTTCCATTCCCAAAATGGAGGTAAAAACCTATACAAAAAATAACACGATCACACCAAAGAAAGCCGCCCACCGCATCCTCTCGGACACGTCGGACGAAGAAGACACCAGCGTGGCCGTGGGGTCTGGAGAGAAGCTGCGGCTCTCAACGCACACGATACTGCCCAGCAGCAAGATTCGGGAGCCGCCCAACACCAAGCAGCAGAAAGAGAAGAGCAAGGTGAAGAAGAAGCGGAAGAAGGAGACAAAGAGCAAAGAGGTTCGGTTCGGCAAAAAAAATGACAAGTTTTGCTCCTCTGAATCAGAGAGCGAGAACGTAGAGAGCGAGGAGGATGACAGAGACTCTGTGCAAAGCTCTAGCTGTGTAAAGGACTCTAGGCTAGTGCTAAAGGAGTCCTCCTTGTTCAACTCTCTCTCTGCCTCTTCCACCTCCTCTCATGGGAGTTTAGCTTCACAGAAACATAACCCTAACCTGACAGAACACTCCAAGCACTGGAGGACGGACAATTGGAAAACCATCTCTTCTCCGGCTTGGTCAGATGTCTCTTCCTTGTCAGACTCCACAAGGACGAGACTGACAAGCGAGTCGGACTACACGTCCGAGGACTCCAGCTTAGAGTCGTTAAAACCCGTGAGAAAGAAACAGGACCACAAAAAGAAAAATAACCCCCACAATGCGGTCTTGGAGAAGAAGAATTCATTCCATCCCAGCGTGGATGGAGCGATTCCAAAGCTGGACAAGGAGGGGAAGGTCGTTAAAAAACATAAAACAAAGCATAAACACAAAAACAAAGAGAAGGGGCAGTGTCAGCTCAACCAGGACATTAAAATCATCAAAACTTTTTCTTTCGAATATGAGGACTCGAAGCAAAAGCCCGACAAGGGATTGCTTGTAGAGACTGAAAACACAGTGGAAAATAAATTAAAAGTGTTAAAGCATGAAAGAGAACACTTCAAGAAGGATGAGAAGCTCCCCAAGGGGAAATCGGAGGAGAAGGAGTGGTTGTTTAAAGATGAGTCTGGAAAAGCCTCCAAAGAAGAGAAATCATTCAAAAAAGTCAAAGAGGGGAGTAAAGACCTTGGTAAATCTTTCAGAGAGGAGAAGTCAAGTAAATCGGAAAAAGAGAAACCTATAAAGGAGAAATCTCCCAAAGAGGAGAAGCCTCGAATACATAAGGAGGAGAGAAAGAAGAAGTCAAAGGACAAACAGTCGAAATCTGAAAAGAAAAACGATCTCAAAGAGGAGAAAATTGCGAAGCTGGAGAAAGAAAAAACTTTCAAAGAGGAGAAAGAGAAATGTAAAAAAGAGAAAGTTTACAGAGAGGAGCCTGGATTTGATGAGTTCAATAACAAAAACCAGTTTCCAGAAAGCGAGGACACAAAGTTCAGCCTTTCTGATGATCAGCAAGAGAGATGGTTTTCCGACTTGTCGTCTGATTCCTCCTTTGATTTCAAAGGGGAGGATAGCTGGGACTCTCTCGTAACAGAATTCAGGGAGATGAAAAACGACACCGTGGCCAAAATAATCTTGGAAACGGCAAAGGAGGAAAGTAAAGAGAAGAAAAAGGAGAACAAAACGAAAGAAAAGAAAGACTACAACGAAAAGCGCAATGAGAAAGACACTTTCCTAAAAAAGAAAGAGCGAGAATACGTGGAAAAAAATCCTGAGAAGAAAAAGGACCAAACTGAAAAGCATAAAGTAACTCCTGGTTACCTGCTGGAGAAGGAGAAGAAAAGGAAGGATTCTGCCGAAAGTGTAAAAGAGAGGAAGGAGAAGGATGCAGGTGACACCAACAAAGAGAGAAAGGATTCTGCCGACAGCTCGAAAGATCGAAAGGAAGTTAAAATTAAGCAAGAGGAGCCTTATCGAGATGAGTTTAAAGACTATGGTTGTGACACATTCTTCAAAGACAAATCTGACCCTGAATTCAGTGGGAAAAATGCAGAGAGCTGGGAAAGGCATCATCCAGGCAAGGAAAAGGAGAAGAAAGATGCTCCTGAAAAAGACAAGAAGGAGAAAGTGAAGCCCGAAAAATACAAAGAGAAATCCAAAGAAGCCGACAAAGAGAAGAATGAAAAAGCAGTTGCGGAGAAGAACCAGAAAGACAAAGAACTGGATAAGAGTTTTAAAGAGAAAAAAGACACCAAGGAGAAATACAAGGATCTGCATAACAAAGACAAGGAAAGGAAGACTTCCTTCGACCAGATGAAAGACAAGAAAGAGAAAAACTTCTCCGCAGAAAGAGAGGACTTCCCTGAGAAAAAAGATGAGAAAAAAGGCAAAGAAAAGAGCTGGTACAGCATCGCCGATATCTTCACAGATGAAAGCGAAGATGAGAAGGATGATTACAGCTTGAATGCCTTCAAAATCGGAGAGCCCGTCGGGAGCGAACTGCACCGGATGGATGGCTTGCAAGAGAAAGATGATGGCACAGCTGCCGAAAAGGAGCTTTATCTCGCCGACAGGCACCGCAAGTACTCCTCAGATAGGCAGCATTTGGGAGAGAAACAGAAAGACAAAGACTCGAAAGAAAAGAAGAAGGACAAAGGATCGGCGGAAGGCGGGAAGGACAAAAAAGAGAAGAACTCCTTTGAAAAACACAAAGACAAGAAGGATAAAGATGCCGGTGAGAAGTATAAGGACAGGAAAGACAGGACCTCGGTAGACTCCACCCAGGAAAAGAAGAACAAGCAAAAGATCCCGGAAAAGGCGGAGAAGAAGCATGCCAGTGAGGACAAGGTGAAGAACAAGCACAAGGACAAGGTGGACAAAGAGCACGCCAAAGAGAAGAAGTCCTCAAAGGGAGGAGAGCCAGAGAAGAGCCTGCTGGAGAAACTGGAGCAGGAGGCGCTGAACGAGTATCGGGATGACTCCAATGATAAAATAAGTGAAATTTCTTCGGATAGCTTCACAGATAAAGGGCAAGACCCAAGCCTCACCAGCCTCTTTGAGTCATCCAATCTTTCCCTGACGGACGCTTCAGAGGAAAAGTTTAAGGATTCCCTTCCTTTACCCTGCTTGCAAGACAAACTCAAGGAGAAGGAGAGGCACAGGCACTCCTCGTCTTCGTCCAAGAAGAGTCACGAGAAGGAGAAAGGAAAGAAGGAAAAAACAGAGAAAAAAGAAAAAGCGGATGAGTTTAAAGACACGGGGGGCAGAAAAGATTCTGCTCAGTATGAAAAAGACTTCTCGGTGGATGGGGAAGCTTTCGGCATTTCCTACAATATGAAAGCAGAGGCTGACGAAGAACCAGACAAAAGCATGGACTACTTATTTCCTGAAAAGAAGGATAAGAACGATGCCGAGAGAGAGCTGTCCAAGAAGTTGGAGAAGGAAAAGGCGTATGGTTCGAGCACCGTCAGCTCAGCCAAAGAGAAGAAGAAGAGAGAGAAACACAAGGAGAAGTGGAAGGAAGAAAAGGAAAAGCACAGAGACAAGCATGCGGACGGATTCTTCAAGCACCACAAAGAGGACCCGAAGTCCGCCACTAAGGACAAGGACAGCCCGCAAGTTGCCACTTTCAAAGAGAAATCGAAGGAGGAGAGCCTGAAATTTGGCGAAACCAAACTGAAGGAGAAGCTCAAGGAGAGCCAGGAGAAGGACAAAGCAGAGTCTCTGAAGATGAGTAACGGAAATGACAAAATCACCTTGTCCAAAGACGGAGTCAAGAAAGATAACAGGCCTAGGGAGAAGCTTCTGGTGGACGGGGACCTGATGATGACGAGCTTCGAGAGGATGCTGAGTCAGAAGGACCTGGAGATCGAGGAACGCCACAAAAGGCACAAAGAGCGAATGAAGCAGATGGAGAAGATGAGGCACAGAAGTGGGGACCCCAAGTTAAAAGACAAGATCAAAACCTCTGAAGACATGCGGAAGAAGAGCCTGGATTTGACCACCAAGAAACCCCTCGTGCTTGATACTCAGCTGAAGGACAAAAAGCTCAAGGAGTTAGGCCCGCTGGCTCCCATCTTGTCCCCAGACAACAAGGCGCAGCCTGCCGTGGGGACGGACTCCAAAGACTGGATCGCTGGCCCCCAGCTGAAGGAGGTCTTACCCGCGTCCCCCCGGCCGGATCAGAACCGGCCGACCGGCGTGCCCACGCCTGCCTCCGTGGTCTCTTGCCCGAGCTATGAAGAAGTGATGCAGACGCCAAGAACTCCCTCCTGCAGCAATGAGGATTACACGGACCTGATGTTCGATTGTGCCGACCCCCAGCACCCGTTGCCCATATCCACCATGTCCATGAACGCGTGCTCTCCCTCCTTCTTCGACCGCTACGCGAACGCTTCGAGCGGACTCCCCGAGAATCCAAGCCAGACTCCAACCAGGACTGTGCCCTCCACCAACCTTTACCGCTCCATCTCCGTTGACATAAGGAGAGCCCCCGAGGAAGAGTTCAGCGTCGGAGACAAGTTTTTCAGGCAGCAGAGTGTCCCAGCAACGTCAAATTTTGACTCCCCGGTGCAGCACCTGATGGACGAAAAGGTCCCTCTTCCTTCTATTTCAGCAGAAAAGTTCCAGTGTTTGTCTCCGGGGTATTACTCCCCTGACTACGGGGTCCCATCCCCAAAAGTAGAGGCTTTGCATTGCGCGCCAGGAGCGGTGAGCCATGTCAGCCAGTCCCCCGAAAGCGTCTTTTCTGGTTTGCAAGCCAAATCCTCCCCGTCTCACAGAGATGAGTTGCTGGCACCCTCTGTGGAAAGTGCCCTTCCTCCTGACCTGGGCATGCCTTTGGGTACCACCGAAGAGCAGCAGGCCACTGCTTCCATCATGCCCCCCGAATCTACCTTTTTGCCTCCGATCGAGGAGAACCACTTCAGTTCGGGTATTTCAGAGCAGAACAATCTGGACTGGGACAACCCTCCTCCTGCCAGGAACCCCGAGCCCCCCATTCCTCCCACCTTGATGGGCAACCCTCCCGACCACCCTGTCAGCTGGTCAGTGGGATCGGAGCTGCTGATGAAGTCTCCCCAGAGGTTCCCCGAGTCTCCCAAGCCTTTCTGCACGCTGGAGCCGATTCACTCTGCGCCGGTGCCCTTTATCACTGCAGAGTCCCCATACCCAGTGTCTCCCATCTCGTACCCGCTGTCGGTATCTGAACCAGGGCTCGAAGAGGTAAAGGAAGATGCGGAAGAAGCCATTCCCGGAGAAATGGCAGCGGCAGAAGAGGCAGCGCCCTACATGTCCCCAACTCGATTAGACACGTTCTTCAGTAACTGCAAGCCTCCTCCAGAAGAGACCCCGGAGATGCCTGCGGAGCGCCTGTGCTTGCCCGCGGAAACGCAGGCGGAGGCCGTCGGCATCCTGGAGAACAGTTACTTGGAGAGCAATCCCGTGGCCCCCATGAGCACAGAGGAGCCGGTGACGTGGCCTGATCCATTCACCAATTCGGAAGATGATTTGGACCTCGGTCCCTTTACCCTGCCAGAGCTGCCGCTTCAGGCCAAAGAGGTTCCGGAGCCCGAAATGGCTGATGCGGAGCCGGTCGAGGAGAGTGCCGCCACCGGTCCAGAAACCGTCAGTTCTGGGGTCGTCAGCCTGGGAGCGGCTCCTGGCGAGCAGGACGAGCTGCCCCTGAAGCAGACGACGAATTTGTTGGCGGTGGAACCAGAGCCGCAGCTGGAAGAGCAAAAACCTGAAGTCGCAGCCCCGGAGGCCGTGATGGAGGCATCGAATGTCCCCGAGGAGAAGAGGCTGGAAGAATCGGAGGCCCCGAGTTTCCAGCAAGCAGCCTCGGCGGAGCCGGCCCAGCTAGAAAACAAAGAGGCAGACGTGAGTCGCGAGGAGCTGCCCTCCTCAAACTGTGCGGCGGAAGCTGGCTCCCAAAGCAGCTCGGCCCCGGTGCCCGCCGCTGACAGTGGAGCCACTCAAGACAGTGCCGCGTTGCGCAGTGCCGCCCAAGCCTCTTCCACCCCAGCAGACATCCCCCAGCCAGAACCCGCCGAACCCGTGCAGAAACCCGTCGCAGAAGCCCCGAAGCCCCCCAAAATTGAAGAGATCCCCCAGCGAATCACCAGGAACCGGGCGCAGATGCTGGCCAACCAGAATAAGCAGAACGCCGCGGCGTCGGAGAAAGAGTTTGCCCCCGTTTCGGCGCCAGCCACGCGGGCCAAGGGGCGCATTGTGGAGGAGGAGGACGCTCAGGCCCAGCACCCACGCAAGCGCCGGTTCCAGCGCTCCAACCAGCAGCTGCAGCAACAGATCAACACGTCCACCCAGCAGACGCGGGAGGTGATCCAGCAGACGCTGGCCGCCATCGTCGACGCCATCAAGCTGGATGACATTGAGCCCTACCACAGTGACCGGTCAAACCCCTACTTCGAGTATCTTCAGATCCGGAAGAAGATTGAGGAGAAGCGGAAAATCCTCTGCTACATCACGCCCCAGGCCCCGCAGTGTTACGCTGAGTACGTCACCTACACCGGCTCCTACCTCCTGGACGGCAAACCTCTCAGCAAGCTCCACATTCCCGTGGTGAGTTGCCCTTGCTCATGTGTGGATCGTGGATTTCAAAAAGGGGGTGCATGCATCATCCCATATAACACAACACACATTTTTCTCCAGGCACAAAGAAACTAGAAGCTTAACTAACATGCCAGGGCCCTAGGGCTGTATTATTCAGGTTAAGATCAAAGCAAAAATAAATAAAACGATTGGAATGAGTTGGCGTTGGTCTGCAGAACAGCTAACAGACAGCCGAGTTGCAGAAGAAAGCTAGCTTGATTGGTGGCACATCAGGACCATTAAAGAGGAGAGAGGGTTGTTAACACCTATGGAGTGAAGAGTTCAGAAGGGATCAAGTAGATTATAATGAGGCAGGTATCCAGGTTGTAGCCGCATTGGTCTAGAGGCAAAAGGAATCACAACTTGTGGTAAAGGTGATCTCTTTTATTAGACCAACTAGAGCTTTGCAAAAAAAAATCTTGCAAATCAAGAAATTTTGTTGCAGAAATCTAGGTGGTCTAATAAAAGAGATCACCTGTACCACGAGTTCTGATTCCTTTATAATGAGCCACGAATTCAATTGATGCTGGCACTGCTGCCTGGGCAGAAGTGTGGCTGCAGCTGCCAGGCAGTTGGTTTGTTGGTGAGTTGGTTTTATAGGTTAGGTGGAGCTGGATTTAAAGTGGGGGGGGTGCGACTGCACCAGTGCAACCCCCCACATCTGCCTTTGCCCTTGCTGTTTCTCTGCTGTTGCCTCAAGTGACAGTGACGCTGAAATGCAGTGTCAGGACCCCCTGTTGGTGCTGCCAGTAGATCTAACACAGAGCCCAGTTTTCCCTCACTGTCACGCCAGCCCAGCCCGGGGCTGCAGGAAGTCCTCTTGCCGCTTCTCAGGTGCAAATGCTGCTCGTAGGACCAGGGGACTTAGCAGGCAGAGCCTGGCAGAAGGCTGCCAGTTGCACAGAGAAGGGCGCTGCGTGCCAGCGGCCCCCTGCACCTCCTGGCGTGCTCGGAGCCTCACTGTGGTTGCTCTCAGAAATCACGAGCATGATAGCACGACCCTGTTGGGCCTTGCCGGAGTTCAGGGTCATCCGTGCAAGGTCGTCCATGCCTGTTGTGTGAACAGCAGCGCGCGGCAGGTTCGTGGAAGGATTGTTTTGCCCATCCTCTACCCGCTCTTCTGAAGATGTTGAAGCGCTTTACAGCGTGGCCTTGTGGCCCCTGAAGCGATGGTGGGTGGGTTACAGCCCCGGGAGATGCTAGCCCAGTTTCATGCCCACACAGCCAGTTGCTGGCATATGGTCTTTGGGAAGGTGGTTGCGGCTCCCCTCGGTCACACGCTCCCCACGTGGCTACGTGCTGGGTGGCTGTGACCTCCACCCCTCCCAGCTCTCTGGCATCCCAACACTTTGGGAGCACAGCACCGGGCTCGGATCGGATAGCTGTTCCAGCCCTGGGCACCCGCGCAGCAGCCCTCGAGAGCCCAGTCATGCCAGGGAGGACAGAAAGCTCAGGAGTGATCTGAGCAGCGGGAGGAGAACTCCCTCCTGGTCCCCAGAGCGCAGCAGGTGTGACGTGTGCCCCTGTGTGTCTGCAGATCGCCCCGCCACCGTCGCTGGCAGAGCCGCTGAAGGAGCTCTTCAAGCAGCAGGAAGCAGTGAGGGGGAAGCTGCGACTCCAGCACAGCATAGAGAGGGTAAGGCGGAGGGTCCGGCGGGCCCAGGCACTGCTGAACTGCCTTCCCTCCACAGGCCGGGGCAGGGGACACTCCTTTGCTGACCGGGTCGTGTCCCCTTCCTCCACAGGAGAAGCTGATTGTGTCGTGTGAACAGGAGATCCTAAGGGTTCACTGTCGGGCAGCGAGAACCATTGCCAACCAGGCGGTGCCCTTCAGTGCCTGCACCATGCTGCTCGACTCGGAGGTCTACAACATGCCTCTAGAAAATCAGGTCAGTGGCTCTCAGGGGCTTGGGGCAGGAGCTGGGGCAGGGCAGGCCATACGGAGAGGTGTGTGGGCACAGGCCAGGGTTTGTAATGCCCTCCTTACCACGGGACCCGTGGCTCCCTCCCCTCGCCCACACGGACTGCCTGTATCATGAGACCTCTCTGCACGGACTAGCCCTGGCTGACATACCCAAAGCCTGAGGCATGAGTTCAGCTGGCCGGCGTGTTTGCCCCCGTATTTATCTGGAGGCCTCAGCACCCCCTACTCCTTCCTCGTATTCAGAGCCAGCCGCATGCTGGAGAGGTTTTAGGGGCCCCAGTCGTGCTGCGCGGAGAAGAGGAGCCTGTGAAATTACTTCCTTAGCTCTGAAACAGCCAAACTCCCCTGCATCGCCTGCAGAGACGGGCTTTTCTTGATCCCACGTAGCCGTGAGCTGGAAAGGCCGTGGGTGAAGTAGTAGCGCAGCAAATGAATCAGACTTCAGCAGCCGGTGTTGCTGTAGGGCTCTGGGAGAAAGTGGACTGAGCTAGTACAGTGCAATGGTGGCGGCTTGGGAGTGGCAGTGCTTCCCTGCCACGGAGCTGCCGGCTCGGTAGGAAGCTTCTTGCTGCATTGCAGAAGGCAGCTCCTGGCCGGCAGACAGCACGGTGCAATTTATTAGCAACCAGCCTATTGATTCGTGCATCTGAATCACCCTCCGCCAGCACCACCCTGGCTGCCTTCCACGGTGAAGGCATCGTGAATTCAGGCAGAAGTTCAAGGGCTCTGAGCTGCAGGTGTGCTGTTTGCAAGGGGAAAAGGCACGAGTCCTGTCCTCTGCTCTTCTGGGGGGAAGTCCTGGCAAGGCCCAGCTCCATCTCAACCTGGAGCCCCTTAGCAGCCTGTTCAGGTGTGATGGGGAGAGGGGCTGGCTGTGCCCTGTGGGGCGTGGGTTTAACCCTGTGTTTCCCCTGGGTGCTGTTTCCCGCACAGGGAGATGAAAACAAATCCGTCAGGGACCGTTTCAACGCCCGGCAGTTCATTTCCTGGCTACAGGACGTGGATGACAAATACGACCGGATGAAGGTGAGGGGGGTTTGGGAGCTCCTGCGTGGGGCCCTGCTGACTCTTCAGGCAGTGTCAGGTTGCAGTGTCCCCTTTGGGAGAGCGGCTGCTGCTTTGGCCAGCCCCAAAAGCTGTCTGCATGGCTGTGCCGGCCCTGGGGGAGCTCTTTGAGGGATGCACAGTGCCTGCCAGCTGCACGCAGCTGTCCGGGGTTTTGCCCTTGGCTACGGGTCAGGGAGGAAGAGGCAGGTGAAGCCAGCGGAGCTCACACAAGGTTACAGAGAGCAGTGGACCCCCTCCAGCCCCCACCCAAACATGAGCAGCCAGGCTGCAGCTGAGGGCAGAGTTTGGGCCCTAGGCCTGAGGAAGGCAGCAGCCCCCGTCTGCCTCCATGCAGCAGCTTGAGCCTCCCAGCCTTTGCCTGCAGGCGTTCGCCGCTGAGGCCAGGCCATGCTGCACCCATGTCACTGCGGGAGCACAGGCAGCAGGTATGGATGCCTGAGCAACTGACTGCAGGTGGGGTCTTACCATGCGGCCTCTGCTCCTGGCAGGCGTTGCAGGGCAGCACGTGTGGAGCAGAGCCCTGCTCCGAGGGACGTTGTCCCCGTGCCTTTCCACCATGGACACGCTGGGCTGTGGCACAACAGAGCAGAGCATCACACCCCTGACTCCCAACCCCCAGCGGGGCCCGCGGAGGCAGCAAGAGCGTGCGCCTCCACCTGCCACAGTCAGGTGCGCTGTCACCACGCGCTGCCCCCCAGCTCGCTCCTGCCTCTGCGCCCCCAGTCCCAGAATTGGGGCAATGCCGCTGCCTTTGAGTGATGCTGAACGCACGCCCCGTGCCCCTCTGAGGCTGTCCCCGGGGTCCTTCCTGGGATGCTGCTAGACAGGCTTAGCCCTTAACCAGCCTGTCGGGCCCCGTCCGAGGACACGTTTGTCCAGCAGTATGGTGGCAGGCTCTGCCCTCTTGCTCCGGGCACCCACAGGGCAGCCTCGAGGGCTCTTCGCCCTCCTTGCCCCTCCCCGCTCACCCCATTTCTGCTTGGGTTTGTCTCCTGGTGCAGACGTGTCTGCTCATGCGGCAGCAACACGAAGCCGCCGCCCTGAACGCGGTGCAGAGGATGGAGTGGCAGCTGAAGGTGCAGGAGCTGGACCCTGCGGGACACAAGTCCCTGTGCGTGAACGAGGTGCCCTCGTTCTATGTGCCAATGGTGGATGTGAACGACGACTTTATGCTCTTGCCGGCATGACGGTACCCACCCGGGAGGCACTCTCGCTGGAAACCAGCACGGACAGGAGCCCTCCGAGGACAGACGCTGGAGCTCACGTTCATCCTTCCCACTTGCTGATGAATCCCTGGTCAGAGAAAGAGGAAGCATCTCCCGGCAGAACACACACCAATACGACTACAATTGCACTTTCTTCACCACGTCTCCCTCGCTTCTGGCCGGAGCGCAGCGGTGCCCAGCGGCGGGGCGGGGGACGCCTCTCCTTTCAAACCGGTCACCGCCGCAGGGGTTGGCCAGCCCGCCCGGCATCTGAATGGACGCGGGGAGAGAGACTGCCGGAGCCAGCGGGGAGGCTGGGTTCGAGGGCGCTCCACGCGCAAGGCAGAAGCTGCTGAGCGGGGCCGGCGGCCGGGGGGTTCATGGACGCCCGAGCGCGGCGATTTCACGCTCTGGATCCCCCGCCGGCCCGCACGCCTCCCTGCCGAGAAGCGCAGCAGGGAGCAGCAGGGGTCCGGTTTCTCCTCCCATCCGGCGGCGCTGGGAACTGCAAACCGAAAGCAAAGCTAGTGTCCGGCTTGGGCAGACGTGGCTCTGGAGGTGGGAACCGCCACAGCCCCAGGACATGCCCCGAGGTCACCACCACATCTGGAGCAGCACCGGGGCCGTCAGTGGGAGCGCGGGACAGGCGTGGTGAGTGTCTGGGGCGGCCGCGGCGCCGCCGAGCACGGACGTTGCCGATTGTGTTTTTAATGGAGTAAAATCCATGTGGTTTATATATATTTTTTTTCCTTTAATCTTGGGCATTTCGTTTCTCTTTCTGAGAACATAACTTGAAAACACTACAGAGCCAATACTCATATAAATTGTATCCCATAAATGCTGTACAGTTTTTATATACATTAACAATGTACTTTTGCTGCCTTCTAGATAATTTATTTTGCAACACATTACTGCACAGTTGTAAATAACTTATGTACTGTAACATCACTCTCAGTTATGTGTAAAGAAATAAATTAATTAAAATTATCTTTGTATGTATAGTTCACCCCAGGCAGCACTTTCCCTTCCAAGGAAAACGGCAGGGCCACACCGGCAAGCGGCGTTCGGGATGTCGAGGACGGGCGGCGTGACCCGCGCCTGTCCCGCACAGACCGCAGTCTGGGTTGCTTGCAGGGCCCAGGGGTTTCAAGGCCTGGAGGTATCGCGAGGCTGCTGCCACCCAGTAGCTCGGGCAAGGGCAAGACTTGAGCCCCGTCCTCACCCGCGGGTCAGTCCCGGGTGCCTTGTGTGCCGCTGCACCCTCAGCCCAGCTGGCAGGGGCCTGGGGGACCTTGCCACTGGCCCCGCCAGGCCTGCCAGGGGGTTGGCATGTCTGGCCCGGCCCCTGCGCAGGGTAGGGAGGCTGGGTAATGCTGTCAGCAAAGCTCGTGCCCAGCGCAGGCGAACAGCAGCGTGGCTGGAGAGGGGCCTGGGCGCCTCCTTTGCCCCCGCCCAGTGCACCCAGCCGGGCACTGAAGTGAGCCCGGCCTGGCTCCCGGAGACTGCTCCCAGGCCCAGCTCCGTCCAGCTGCCCCTTCCCGGTGCCGCAGGGAGGCTGGGGTGGAAGCAGCCCCTCGCCCCAGCCCGGTGCTGCCCCCGCGCTGGGGTTGCCCAGGGGAGCTGGAAAGAGCCTCTGGGCTGGTGCAACCGCCCTGCCTTCATCGGGCCCTCGCTGCCCACGGGGAGCTGCTGGCGGCTAGGACGTGGTGTGGCTCGGGCGGCCTGGCCGGCTCTGCCCAGGAGCTCGCCGTGCGGGGCGGACCGGTGGGAGACCGGCCCGGGGCCCGGGGCGCGTCGTGGCGCTGCCCGTCTGC